CAAATGGTTTGGTGTGATTAGAGGTGAAGTTGGTAATTTCCAGTTAATAAAATCTAGGACTTGGGGAATAATGTTTTGTTGGTACCTGTTTTAAAAATTCATTTAGATGAAATGATTAAAGTGTTTCTTTATTTCAAAGCGTCCAGTGAATATTAATGGTGCATATTAAAGTCTTTAACCCTGTCATTACAGGAGTGGAAATGAAGAAAAGCTGATGGCGCTGCTGACTCCATTAAATGTCAACTGTCACGCCAGTGATGGTCGCAAGGTAAATGACCCAGTTCTGCTTTAAAATATCTGTGTGCTGTTCAGTTGTAAAACGGTTGTTTGGTTATTTTCAGAGAAGGCTTCTTACAGTCTGACTGCTGCTGGATTAGTTTGTGTGCTTGTGGGGGGGTGGGGTATGCTGAATGAGAGACGGTTTTAACAGACGCCACGGTACCTGGGATAAACCACAGAGTTCTTTGTAATTATGCTTAAAACCCATCTGTTTACCTCTACTGAGTCATGGTGACGTTTAACAGCCTCGTTAGTTTGTCACAGTAAGTGTATTGTTGATTCAAGATTTCAATATTTAGCTCTAATTCACAATTTTAACTCTTGTTCATTTTATTTCAACAGTGAAAGTCTTTGGCCAATTAGAAAAGACAATTCCTCTGTTTTCTTTAAACATTGTTGACATATTAATTTTATTGAGTTTATTTTGTTGGTTATTATATAAATTCAGGTAGAATTTCCATTTTTATTCATTTCACTGACTTCAGTCAGTGTTTGCTTTTCTGAATAACATGGAGGTCTTGTTTGCTTTTTATTCCAAGGCAAGTCTGTTTTTTATTTTATGTATCAGATGTTACTGTGCTGACAACAATATAAATATTACTATTGTTTCTTCATTGATGTCTTTTTGTGTCACTAACATAAAAATCCAAATCCCAAATTAGCAGGTTTGTTCTACATTTGAATTTATTCTTGATGTTATTTTATCATAGTTTCTGTAAAAGATGTTTGTTTTACTGCTTTAAGAGTCATTACTTACAGCAGGGCTATTCAACTGGCGGCCCGCGGGCCACATCCAGCCCTCGAGTGACCAAAATGTGGCCCACTAATTTGTTCATTCATCTCTTAAGTCCAAACCCTGGGTTTTCTACTTTAATTATTTTAAGTTCTTTTAGCTAGACATAGACATGTTTGGTGTCTACTGAAACATCAGAATCCTGTTTAGAAGCTGGTAAAAACCATTTCTATGAATATCTAAGTCAGGTAAAACTACAAGCAGTTGTATGGAGGACCAAACCTATCATTATTGGAAATAAATGTATAAATATATAACTGGCGTATTAAAATAAATTATAGGGTCAAAAAGAAGTTTGACAAATAAATTATTGTGCCATTAAATCAATTACATCAATTATTTAGATATAAAAGTGTATTTACATTTTAATTTTGAAGGATTATATTTTCTCTATGTGCTTT